CGTCTGGCGGAAGAAAAAGCCAAGCAGCGCGTGGTTGTATCCGCGCCGCAGGGCGCAGCTGCGCAGCCTTTTGCCCAGGGTCAAAACAGCAACGTGGTCGGAATGTGATGAAAGCTTTACTGAGCAGTTTGTAGAGAGTCAAAAGATATCAACAGACGAACACTTAGTGCTGCCCCCGGCTGCGATATGCGAAATTTGTATTGCAGGTTACCCTTCCTTCTTTTAGCGGGCAACAGCAGAAGGTGATCGGGCACGGGCTGCGCCCCATATGTGAGAACAGACCACGGGTCTGTGTGCTGGAGAACGTGAAAGGATTGCTGCCGCTGCAGAAATCTTCGTGAGCTGGCAGGGCTTATTCGCAGAGCTATTTTGGTCTAGCTTGCGGACACTGCTTGGCAATAGCTTTTGTTCCACAAGCTAGACTCCCAAGCAACCTCTGCATGGCAATGCTCAGGAAATTGTGCAAACTAGATCCCCAAATTCCTGCAAGCTAACATCAAACATTTCCGCAGCGCAGGCAGGCTCACACACAGGAAGCTGCGCAAAGATCTGCAAGCGATCGCACAGAAAGCCCAGCAAGCCAGGCAAGCCAAAACTCAACCACTCTGGCCAGCAAGCCCAATAAGAAATGCCCAAGCGAAACACCATGCAACAACGCCTGCAAGCTTGCGGGCGGATATTCCGCAAAGTGAAGTTCAACAATCCCTAGAAGCTTCCGCGAAGGAAATTCTGCAAGCCAGAACCCAACAATCCCTGCAAGCTAAAGCACAAGCGATTCCGTGGGGAAGAGCGTGCAAGAGTCTCTTCAAACCAGCTTGGGACATGGCAGCAGCCAGAGTCAAACCTGCATGCTCCAAGGACTCTTGTGCAAGCTGGACCCCAACACTCCCTGCCAGAGATGCCAACAATCTTGCAAGTTCACAGATGATCGAAATTCCGCAAGCTACCGCCCAATCATCTCCGCAAGCTAATCTGTAGCAAATTTGGCAAATAAGGCCCCAAAAACACTGCAAGTATGTGCAAGGGAAATTCTGCAAACTAGAGCCCCCAACCCTTGCAAGCTATCGCACAGGAAGCTCCACAAGTGAATCCTCCCAGGCAGCTCCTGAAGAACAATTTCCTCCATAAAATCGGCCAGCGTTCACACTCCTGTATAAGAACACGGTAACATGGCAATCTCGCAAGTTTGACGCCAGCGGTCCCGCCTTGCCAATTTGCGCAAGGGATCGCGGGGGTGATAAGGTGACAAAGGGGAATCGTTCAAAGCACGCAAATCAACAACATATATATAGATACCTTTTTATCCACACATGATCCTGCAGCACCGTTTGTTCAAAAACAAGTTGCATGTGGGACTGAAGAGCGTGAGTGCCACAGAAGAGGCAAACGCGAATCACGCGCTGTGCGCGATGTACCCTTCCGATTTGTGGAGGGGGCATGCTCAACGGTTGGTTGCTGTAGGCAAAACGTCGCCTTTGCAGGACTTAAGAATGACAGGGTCCGTACAGGCAAACGAAAGCCTAAAAATCACGCTGCAATGCAGTGGTGGGTCGCACAGCCGCATTGCGCTGGCAAACGTGGTTCCGGAGAGCTACAATCTTCAGACCTTGCTCGCCGTGGAACTCGCAACTGCGCAATGCCGTGGCACCAGCGCTGCGCGCGCAAACGCCACTCATTTGTGTGGCCACAGCAGCATCGCTGGGACGATATTTCTGTTAACAGAGCAAAGCCCTAGATGCAAAGCAAAACCCCGGATAGCCGGAATCATAAATGAAGACGAATCATGACGACGATCATGAACGTGCCTGATAAGCATCACTACGCATCTCTAGCACCCCTAGCAGCGGTGATGATAACCATCACTACGCATCCCCGGCATCTCCAGCAGCGATGATGATAATCATGACCTCGCTTACATGTCAAGCCGGGTCTAACCGGGACACTTGAAATGTATATGGAAAAGACTTGAGAAGACGAATCATCACGACAATCATGAAGGTGGATTATAATTATCACTACGCATCTCTAGCATCTCTAGCAGCGATGATGAGAACCATCACTACGCATTCGCGGCATCTCCAGCAGCGATGATGATAAGCATGACCACGCATCGCTTGCATGCCAAGCCAGGTCTAACGGGACACTTGAAATGTACATGGAAAAGATATAGAAAACACTTGAGAAGACGAATCATCACGACAATCATGAACGTGGATTATAAGCATCACTACGCGTAGCATCCCTAGCAGCGATGGTGATAACCGTCACTACGCATCCCGGCATCTCCAGCAGCGATGCTGATAAGCATGACTACGCTTGCTTGCATGCCAAGCCGGGTCTAACGGGACACTTGAAATGTAAATAGAAAAGACTTGAAAAGACAGGCTCCTGAGTATGGATGATAAGCATCACTACGCATCCCCGGCATCCCTAGCACGATATGCATCGCCACGCATCCCCAGCATCCCAAGCAGAATAACCATCACTACGCATCCCCGGCATGTCCAGCAGCGATGATGACAGTCATGACTACGCATCCCCAGCATCTCCAGCACCGATCATAATCATGATGCTAATCCTCACTACGCATCCCCGGCATCTCCAGCAGCGATGATGATAATCACGCCTACGCATCGCTTGCGTGTCAAGCCGGGTCTAACGGGATAAGCATCACTACGCATCCCCAGCATCCCTAGCAGTGATGATGATAACCATCACTACGCATCCCCGGCCTCTCCGGCGGCGATGATGACAAGCATCACTACGCATCCCCAGCATCGCCAGCAACGATCATCATGATGATGGCATTCATCACTACGGATCCCCAGAAGAGTCTTGAGAAGATGAACGACGACGATCATGAGGGTGGATGATAAGCATCACTATGCATGTCTAGCATCCCTAGCAGCGATGATGATAACCATCACTACGCATTCGCGGCATCTCCAGCAGCGATGATGATAAGCATGACTACGCATCGCTTGCGTGCCAAGCCGGGTCTAACGGGACACTTGACATGTACATGGAAAAGATATAGAAAACACTTGAGAAGACGAATCATCACGACGCATCTCCAGCAGCGATGCTGATAAGCATGACTACGCTTGCTTGCATGCCAAGCCGGGTTTAACGGGACAATTGATCGTGTGTAGAAAAGACTTGAGAAAACACGTCATGCCGAGCATCCTGAGCATGGATGATAAGCATCACTACGCATCCCCAGCCTCCCTAGCATGATGAGCATTGCCACGCATCCCCAGCATCCCCAGCAGAATGATGATACCCATCGCTACTCCGGCATGTCCAGCAGCGATGATGACAGTCATGACTACGCGTCCCCGGCTTTTCCAGCACTGATCATAATGATGATGATAATCATCACTACGCATCCCCGGCATCTCCAACAGCGATGATGATAATGATGCCTACGCGTCGCTTGCGTGTCAAGCCGGGTCTAACGGGGATAAGCATCACTACCCATCCCCAGCATCCCTAGCAGTGATGGTGCATGTCAAGCCGGGTCTAACGGGGCACTTGAAATGTATTTTGAAAAGAAAGTCAAGACTTGAGAAGAAGAATCACGACGACGATCATGAGGGTGGATGATAAGCATCACTACGCATCTTTAGCATCCCTAGCAGCGATGATGATAACCATCACTACGCATCCGCGGCATCTCCAGCAGCGATATAAGCATGACTACGCATCGCTTGCGTGCCAAGCTGGGTCTAACGGGACACTTGAAATGTATATGGAAAAGACTTTAGAAAAGATATAGAAAAGACTTGAGAAAACGAGTCACGACGAGGATCCTGAGCATGGATGAAAAGCATCACTCACGCAGCCTGAGCATCCCTAGCAGCGATGATGATAACCACCCCCAGCATCTCCAGTAGCGATCACCCATCGCTTGCATGTCAAGCCGGGTCTAGCGGGACACTTGAGAACTTGGATGATATTCCCAACATTTCTAGTAGTGATGATACTGACTATCACAGCGTATCCCTAGCTTCTCTGGCAGGGCCAATGCCGATTCTTGCCATCGCCCTTCCCGTGCGCCTCCCCCTTTGGGCGAAGGGGTCGGCGGATTAGTTCTCAGTTGCATCAAAGGGTCGGGCTGGTTTTGGGTTGGTCTGGGATCATTGCCCCGTACCAGCAAAACTAGGCCAAAACTCACGCAACCAAGCCTGAAGCCACTGCTACACAAGCCGCGCTCCTAGCGCAAACCCACCCAAAGTGAACCCGAATCCACACTTGCCTTGTCCCGGGCCTACACCCTACCAACCCAAACCCGTCCATTGAGGTCTAAGCTGTCCTAAACCCACCCCAATTCAACCAGCCTTGGGCAACTCCCAAGCGCATTCAAATCAGAGCCAACACATGGGTCCAATTAAGGCCGGCGATGCTGGGGATGTGGCCTAGAAAAACCAGTGCCAATCAAACAAACCTCGTTCTAGCAACAAAGTCCAGCTGCGCCGTGTGTTTTTCTTCGAGCTCCAAGAGTGACACAACCCTACCCCGAGGGTACACGGCGGACGTGTTTTGTTGGCGCCAAACTCCTCCTCAGCATCCCCTGCCTCAGGCCGGCCAAAACATCTGAGCCCAAAACGTTTTTGACATGCCCGCCTTCAAGCAAAAAACGGCCAGCATCCCCGCCAACAACCCCTACATCCTGGCAACTCTCCCGGCGCCACCAGATTTCCTGCATCAGCAACATGCGGGCTTGCCAGCGGAAGCACCCTGCTGTGTAATGTCATTTTTCGCCGATTGATTGTTTGGGAGGGATGCCAGGGGCTGTCTTCGTTTGATTGGCTTGTGGTGTGAAGCCGCTTGCGGCGCAGCTGGCGAGGGTGGGAACCAGGCAACCAGCGCAGCTGGTGGCAGCGAAGCCCTAGGGTAAAGCACCCCCACCTTCCAGGCGTCTTGGTGGCGTGAAGGTGGAAAGATCCTGCTGGCCGTTTAAAACGCAAGAAGCCGAACCAGGCATATGCTGAGACGAGGTTTGGCGGGACAGCACTGAAGACTGGCCTTCCCGCGTTGAGGAGTTTGAGTGCTTGCCTCGGATCAAGTCGGGACGTGACGCCTGGTGGGGGGATGATTTGAATGTCCTGGTTGCCTCACATTGGGTTAAGTTTCCCTTTGTGGCAGCTTGACAGATTCATGCACATATTACACGTTCACTCTGTTTAGGTATGTATCTTGCTTCTTCATAAAGGTGTTAGAGACTAAACGTGGCGTTGCTTTGAATCCAAGATGAAGCTCTGTGCGTGTGTAGAAGCATGATTGACACACTCACACACACAAGATGGTGTTCATGGATACTCCATGACATCTTTCGCAAATCCACGGACATTGTGTGTTGGTGGTTTTGTTGTTTGGCATGTTTAAGGTTCCAATGATTCAAATCAATATCCCATCCCATACGTTTTGATCTAGACTTACCCAATCGATATTCAGTAAGTACCAGACGTGGTTTCATAGACTCAATATTGTTTCATGTGTTTCGATACGTGTTGAAACACGAACAGGTTGGCTCATCATATTATTTGACTCCGCCAATTGAGACATCACACAGGTTTCAGCTGCGTGTCATGCCAATAAACCGGGATGATGCAGAATATGTATATGTGCGCACATATACAAATATAGTCGCAAGGAATTTGTCACCCCCTGTCTGGCCAAAACCTCAGTTTCTGGTCAAAAACCTGAGTGTTTCAAGGGGGGGGTAGCATATATATGATAATCACTTCCCCTATTAATAAAGGTCTCCCTAATAATAAATATTTGTTTCGGAAGTCCCAAATCCGGGAATACTACTTTTAGAATAGCCAATACTAAACCAATTCTAAAGTAGATATTTTCCTGCCCGTACTCAAATCCAGCCCCATTAGGGGGACCCCGGGGGCACGTTTCCTTTAATTACTACGGCTGTGCTACAAAGTTGCGACTTTCAGGCCAGAGCTCCGGGAGCACGTTTCCTTTACTACGGCTGTGCTACAAAGTTGCTGTGCCCAAAACCCACAACCAAAAACAACAAAACGTGACCTCAACTCCCGCTACTTAAATTCCTTACTCAGAAATGTGCGTTTGAAGCGATTTTACGGAACGGAACAGGGGGACCACAGTTGCAAACAAGCCTACACAGAACAAGAAGTACCTCCAAAACCTGCCCTCCAGAACCAGGGGACCCCTAATAATAAAAATTGTTTTGCAGGCCGGGTATTTTTTTATTAGGGAGGGGGGGGGGCGTCGTTTATTATTAAGGGGAAGGGATTACCCCCCTCCCTGGACTACTCAGGTTTTCGGAAAGAAATTGACATTTTGGCTGTAAAAATGCATGCAAAGCACACGTTCCAGGTTGTAAAAATGAGGCTCCAAAAATGCACTCCGTTTTAGACTCAAATTCTAGCATCGGTACTTAGGTCAATCCAGGATGTGCTAGCACGTGCTAGCACATCCTGGATTGACGATTGAAGATTGAAGATTCTGAGACCACGTGTTCTGGAAATCTTCAATCTATCCTTAGGACAAACTGATATGTGCTAGCACGTGCTAGCACATCCTGGATTGCCCTAAGTACATATTTGGATAATTTCAGAAAGAGTTGTCAGAGAATCTTCAATCTTCAGATCCTGGACTGCCCTAAGTGCGGGTTTGAAGAATCTAAAAGGCAGACTGGGAGTGCACCTTGTCACAATCAAATTGTGGATGTGCACTTGCACTGCCTGCATTTGGCCAGGAAGAAAAATGTTGTTGACATCTTTGCACGTTTTTGTGGACTTGAGGGCTGGCCAGGATGGAAGATGCTCAATAGAAAATATAGCAGGTCTTCAATCTTCAATGCAGGGGGCAAAACCTTAGTGAGTCTAGCACAAACTGTCAAGTTTTTAGGGGACCAGGATTGAGGATGTTCTAAATATATGTTTGTGGAATATTGTATACTCGATCTTCGATCCAGGGCAACGCGATCTGTCTTGCTTGGTTCAAACCACATGGAGTTCGATAAGGACAATAGCCATCTTCTCCAGTTGATTTTTGAAATGCGCAAGAAACTCCAAACGAGTAAACTTGAGTTTGGTTTGAATCGAAAGCGTTTTAAACTGGATACCCTTCCCTTGCTTGAATTTCAATACTTGTTATTGGCGATGATTGAACCAAGTTAGACTAGCAACACACACACATGGGATAGTTGCTTTGCAACATATGTTTCAAACAGACTGAACTAGCATGTACATGGGATTCTGCACAACACTCGAGTTAACATGAAAATGCAATTGCGCAAGGACATGAAGTAGGAATGAGTTCCTTTTCCCCAAGTTGATGATTTGCTGAATTTCGCTGCCAAACCGGGAGCGCACCTTGTCAGAGTCAAATTGTGGATGTGCACTTGCACTGCCTGCATTTGGCCAGGAAGAAAAATGTTGTTGGGAAGATTCTCAACAGAAAAAATAGTAGAGCTTCAATCTTCAATGCAGGGGGCAAAACCTTAATGAGTCTAGCACAAACTGTCAAGTTTTTAGGGGACCAGGATTGAGGATGTTCTAAACATATGCTTGTGGAATCTTGTATACTCGATCTTCGATCCAGGGCAACGCGATCTGAGCAAATGCTGAAAAACACTGCGTTCTACTGCATTTATGCCAAGAATAAGATCTATGATTGAAAGCACGTTCCAGGCATTGGCTTGGCTCAGTTCTTGCTGGCTCAGCCACATGGAGTTCGATAAGGACAATAGCCATCTTCTCCAGTTGATTTTTGAACGCACAAGAAACTCCAAACGAGTAAGCTTGAGTTTGGTTTGAATCGAAAGCGTTTTAAACTGGATATCCTTCCCTTGCTTGAATTTCAATACTTGTTATTGGCGATGATTGAACCAAGTTAGACTAGCAACGCACACACATGGGATAGTTGCTTTGCAACATATGTTTCAAACAGACTGAACTAGCATGTGCATGGAATTCTGCGCAACACTCGAGTTAACATGAAAATGCAATTGCGCAAGGACATGAAGTAGGAATGAGTTCCTTTCCCCAGTTGATGATTTGCTGAATTTCGCTGCCAAACAAAAATAAGAAACACACAATAGTAGAGCTGCTACTGGCGCGTTGAGGCTGCCAAAACACACTTTGCGCACCACTCTTGTACTGGACAGTTGTGTTTTTGAGCTGGAGCTGCCAAAGTGAGCTTTGCATACTCCAATGTGACTTTAAGTGCACTCGCGCACGCCAATGTGACGATCACAACAACTCCTTCAACGTTGAGCTTAAGTTCTGCTTGGTTGGAATTTGCATGGCGTTGAGCGTCCAGTCAGTTCATTTCAGAGTCGCAAGGAATTTGTCACCCCCTGTCTGGCCAAAAAACCTCAGTTTCTGGTCAAAAACCTGAGGGTTTCAAGGGGGGGGTATATATATATATATATATTCACGTGCGTATGTATATGGACATATTATGAGGTTTCATGCACTCTCGTTTTGCATTCTCGACATTTGTTAGGCTATCCTGGCGCTTACGTACTTTGTGATCTTCCTTCTGTTGATGGAACACGTTTTGCGCCACACCAATAGAACAGTATTGTGGCGCCTTGCTCCCAACTTAGCATTGGGTCTTCGGACGGCACACCTGCTCCCACCCGCAAGTGTGAGCGCTCAGAACTGAACTAGAGTCGATGACACTGCAGGACTTCTTCCATCCACTGCACAAAGATATGAGTTTCAACTTTATGCTGTGAGAGAAACAACTTGGGCCTGCAGCGTCGTCCTCCGCAAGAACTATCTTCTGGGCAGAAACTGTGTTCTCTAGAATGTCAATCCGGTCACACCTCGAATCTAACAGCCAATCTTGCACTAAGGTGTTTCTCACGGAACATTGGTCGTTATTTTCCGACACAACCAAACACTGGCATAAGGGGCTTGATGGGCACCCAAGGGCCAGCAGCCGGACCAGCGGTTGATGTGCGCTGTACAGCAATTTCGCGAAAACTGCAGTGCCAACTAGAACTTGAGCGCCCAGTTTTATGGGAACCAAACCGAAGCGCGTCATGTTCGTCGATCCTTGTCACCAAGGCATTTGCAGCAGCAAGAGGACGCAGCCGATGCTAGCTATTCTGAGCTTGAGTTTATTGAGCCTGTGCTACCTTGAGTCCCTTGCTTGCCCTTTACCTGAGGAGCCCTTGCCAATCGCTACCTTTGCCGCCATGGTCTAACGAAGGGTCGTGTGACTATGGACAAGGGCACTCATTGCAAAGGGCACCCGTGCAAAAACTGATTGTTTTCCGAAACGCCTGGTCATTTGACCACTGCGTGTCATGTTTCAAGGGTTTGTTGATGTACCATGCAGAAAGGTGACTGGGGTGCCTGTCACACGCTGCAACAAGCGAACTAGGACGCGAGCATGTGTTGGGAGATCACGCACCCAAGCAAGCACACAACATACCGGCAACACAAGGCCAACGTCTCAACACAGGACTGCCAGCAGATTTGCCCCTTATGTGTTCCAGGCACTTGAGATGCAACTTGAACCAGATCCCATTGTTCAGTTGACCTGCACGGTGCACGGTGGACTGTGGGAATTGCCTCAGTGCTATTTCATGCCATACACAATATATGTTCCAGGCCGTCCCCCCCCTTCCCCCCCCAACCGCCCTTTT